GGGGCGGGGGGAGGAAACGGCCCCCCCGCGGCGGCTGGGCCTCGCTCGGGGCCTGCTGCCAGGCCGCGGGGTGAGGGATCCCTCGGGGGGCAGGCGTGGCGGGGCCGGGGGTGCCCGGGTGGGCAGGGCCCCGTGGGGAGGCCCCGTCCCTGCTTTTCACACCGCTGTGCCCTCTGTATGTGGGTGGTGGGAGATTTGGGGCCCCCTGAGAGGCCCCGATGCTTTCAGGGCTAGAAGGGGGGTGGATCCCACGCCGACCTTCCCTTCCTAGGGCCAGGCCTCCCCCGTGGGAGCCCCTGTTTCAGCCAGGCGGCGTGAGGAGATCCGAACCTGCCCCAGCCCCCGGGATGGGGGTGCGCACCCGCCTTCAGCCCGCCGCGGGGGACCATCCCATCCCAGGGCCTCCTGGGGCTGGGCGACGGCGGGTGGAGGCAGCTCCCTCCTGTTCCCCCTCTTGTCCTGCCCCGTTTCTTCTTGGCTCCTCTGGGGACGGGTTGCCTGTTTCCCGGCTGGCTCTCACACTGTCCTGTTGAAGCTGCTGTTTGCTGCCATCTGCCTGGCATGGAGAAACTGCCCTTTCCGTGACTGTGATTCCAGGAGTCTCCGATGGCTCCCGTGTAACTTGGTTACTTTATTGGCCTTGCTCAGTTTGTGTAACATGGCAGTGAGGTCTTTCTGCCTTTATGGATCCTGCAGGATTTGGTGTTGGGAATTCCAAGGTTGGATGAGTGAGGTGGATGCCATTGGCGTAACATGTCTGGAGAGCCAGAGCAGTTTAAACACCTCCAGCAATAACCCAGGCAGCTGTCAGCACTGCAGGGGCTGTGCTTTTCTGCTTTCTTAGCTGATCTTTCCTTCAGCTGAAGCCACTTGCTGAGAAGTGTGCAGTGCTGAGAGAGGTCAGGGAGCAGGATGTCTGCCCGGAAGTGAGGTGGGGCCTGTGTTTTGTTCTCAGCTGCTGGCGGTTGTGTTCCCATTAGATTGAGCCAGACTTGAGACTCCTGTATTATTTTATGGGCTTTGGTGCTGATCCTGGGCAGATCGTTCGGTGTCCACCTCCAGAGGGAACAAGAGGCTATGCCGCACTTCTGGTTATTAATCATTGTTACTTATTTGGGAAATACTGTCATCCAAAACAGTTCTTAGAAAAGGATTTTAGGGCTTGCAGCCACCCTTGCCTGCACCACACCAGTTAAGACAAGTTCCTTTGGATAATGTCTAGCCAAGATCTTGTTACTCATTTGGGTTTAATTTCTTTCCCTGTGCCTGGATGAGGGAGATTGGTAAAAGAGCTGCGAAAGACTCTACCCTTTTATTACAACAGGAGAGTGAAGCAGCAAATAAATTGCCTCCTCCCTGGGCTCCCACCAGCTATGATTTATGATAATGCACTGGTATGCAGGAGAGTCTAGATTCTGGAAAATACCCCCAAACATTAATTTACACTCCGTGATATTTTCTTTTCTTTTGCTCAGGGTGGTTAATAAAACCTGTTATGACATGCTTAAAGTGCTTAAGAAGCTCTGGGAATAAATGAGAATTTTTCTACGCCTCCCTAAGGCATTTTCAGTCCTATCAGTAGTTGTTCGTTCCATTTGAAGGATTGCCAGAGGAGAAAACATTAAATGACTCTGCTGCTGCTATAGCTTCAAATGGGATTTATTTCCTTTGGATTGTGATTGGATTCTTGATTTGGCTGAACAGAGAAGGCGGTGGGGTGTGGAGGGGTCCTTCTTTTCCGGAGGTGTTTTAAAATGCATCCATCCTTTTTTTTAATATGAAACTGAGAGCTGCTCACTGCCATGCCGAGTGAAATGCAGCTTTCTAACCAAACGAGAGTTATCTTCTCAAGAAAGCAAAGTGTCTGAGTTATAAGCCATGACCGATACCAGGTGCAGGGGCCTTAACTGCAGACAGGGCAGACACTGGGAAGAGGCTGTGCTGGTCTGATGAGAGTAGATGTGAATGGAAGAAGGATTCTTGTCCAGTCACGTCTGCCCTCAGCCTTCGTGACTAGGTAGAAATCCCCCCTGAAAAGAATAGGCTTTGTATTCTTCAGAGCCAGCTTCACCTGAATTCAGCTTCTCTCCATGCAACTAATCCTGTCGTTGCCAGTGTAGAGTGCACCGGGGAGCTGCCGAAGGGCCAGTCTGCCTCAGAAGTGTTTCTTTCCTTCCCTGCCTGTCTGCAGCACGAAGCTGCAGGAGCAGGACAGCTTACCACCAGGTGCTTCCCTGGTATATCTCCATGCCATGCCTTGACAGATGGGGTTTCAGAGCTTTTTCTGGTTTGCTTGTATGTGTGTCTCACTTGAAAAACCCGTGATTCGTATGATTTCGTGGCAAACTCAGCACTTTGATTCCTGTAATGCATAGACATACTGCTGATCTCTTTGAGAGCAGGTATACACAGCCTTCCGTACTCCTGCGTTTTAATCAAACTCTTTATAGCTCATGTTGTGTTTCACGGTTTCCTCATCTGATATTTGCAACTTGGGTTTAATTGACTTTTGGAAGAGGTATGTGTAGCCTGCTAATGACTGTGCTGTGTTTGTCAGGTGGCACTTCTGAGGTCTTAGATGAGTGGGCTTAAATCCCATTTGTGTCTGTTTTTCAAAGCGAAAGCCTGGGTGATCATCTCAGAAGCTATTAAGAGAAACATGTTACTTTTCTCAATGCTTTGAAATCCTTCTAGAAGAAGTAGATATAGGCATGCTGAATGTTATTCACTTAATCATAGAATCATTAAGGTTGGAAAAGACCCTTAAGATCATCGAGTCCAACCGTTAACCTATCACTGCCAAGTCCACCACTAACCCATGTCCTCAAGCACCATGTCTACCCTTCTTTTAAATACCTCCAGGGAACTCAACCACTTCACTTCCCTGGGCAGCTTGTTTCAGTGCCTGACCACCCTTTTGGTGAAGAAGTTTTCCCTAATATCTAACCTAAACTTCCCCTGGCGCAGCTTGAGGCCATTTCCTCTCATCCTGTTGCTTGTTACTTGGGAGAAGAGGCCGACCCCCACCTCGCTACAGCCTCCTTTCAGGCAGTTGTAGAGAGCAATGAGGTCTCCCCTCAACCTCCTCTTCTCCAGACTAAACAACCCCAGCTCCCTCAGCTGCTCCTCACAAGACTTGTGCTCTAGACCCTTAACCAACTTCGTTGCCCTCCTCTGGACACGCTCCAGCACCTCGATGTCCTTCTTGTAGTGAGGGGACCAAAACTGAACACAGTACTCGAGGTGAGTACACCTCGAGTTAAGGTTACACCTCGAGTTAAGCTACATCTTTAATTCCTAGATGAAAATAGAGGACGTGAGGATGGAACGTAGTGCCCCTGACTCCACCTCTTTCCCCAGTGTCCCCTCAGAGCTGGTCAAACTGTATAATAAATGTTAATACACTTTGTTTCCATCTCAGACTAAGAACTTGGACTTCCGCCGAAAGTGGGACAAAGATGAATACGAGAAACTTGCAGAGAAGCGGCTCACAGAAGAGAGAGAAAAGAAAGATGGTGGGTAGTGTACTGACTCCAGGCAAGCTTTGCTCGTTTGGCAGTGAGTCACCCAAACCCCTTTTGAGTTCGAGAGGGAGGGAGCAGCTAGAAGTGAAATTCCGGAAGGAAATAGCACCAACTCAAGGCTGGCTTGCTCTGATCCTTTTTCCTTTGCTTGCCACTGAATACATTTTTTTGACAAAAGTGATTACTGAGAATCTTTGCCTCTGTCTGCCCGTTCTTTGGGGAGGGAGAGGAACAATCAGCCCCTGGAAACAAGGATATCTCAGAGTATGACCCACATCAGAGCTGGAGACACTTCACAGGCCTATGTGGTTCTAATAGGAACCAGGAAATAGTGAGGAGGAAATTACATTGTTTACTGATTTAAAAAAAAAAAAAAAGTGCAATTTTTGCATGAATCAGGTAGTTCCCAGGTTCCCGGTAGCCTCTCTTCATCAAGGGCAATGTGAAATCCAGCGTGTCAAGCTTGACCTTTTCTGAGAAACACTTTGGTTTTTTGCTTATGTTTTAGGCAAACCAGCTCAGCCTGTCAAAAGGGAACTTCTGCGGCACCGAGACTACAAAGTGGACCTGGAATCGAAGCTGGGGAAAACCATCGTCATCACCAAAACTACCCCTCAGTCAGAGATGGGAGGGTAGGTTGCGATCTTTTTGTTGGAGTCTCAGAGTTGTGCTGGTGAGCCCTTATGGTGTACCAGGTGATGATTTCCTCCTGTGTTTTGAGCCCGGTGCGGTGGTGCCGCACTGTATTACACCTAAACTGGGTCTTCTGGGGTAATGTATGGAAGAGATGCAGCAGGCTGAGCCCCTTCAGACATTATTACTTGATATCAATGTTGCTTTGCCCACTTGTAGAAACAACTGAGGCAGATCTCTGCTGCCTACTTGGTTTTGTTAGCCAGGAGGCCTGCTTGCAGTAAGGCTCTATCTGCTGTTGATTGGAGTTTCTGATTTGGATATCTGTCAGTGGGAATGGGAGAAATATCCAGATACCTGTCCTTAGGACTTGTGTTTGGCCACTGTTTGTGTGGATCGTGTTCGGCCAAAGGCTAAAAGGATTCTTAGCTCACCCTAAGCCATCAAGTGCTTGAAAAGAATGCATTGAGTTTGTGCCATCTCAACAGTAAGCCTGTTAGTGTGTCGCTCTTGTAGCCTAATAGCCAGCAGTGCCAGGGAGATGCGCAGCCCTGAACAGCATCCAGGGATGGAAGCGCAGGCCCTGGCTGCTTTTTTCCCTGGCTGCGTTTTTGCAACCGCCCTTAAGATGGGCAGAAAGCACTGCTGTATAAAGCAGGGAGTTGCTGCTGTGAGGCAATAGGGAGGGGAGGACTTGCAGCCAGGTGAGAGCCTTCAGCAGGCTGCAGTCCGGAAGCCTGGGCTGCGTGGCCAGCCCTGCCTTGGAGGAGGGCAGCTGAGTCCTGTGGTGTCGCAGAGTCCATCGCACCCTGTTGGTTGTGACTGGAAGGGGAAGATGCCCTGAGTGACATAGTTACAGATCAGTTCATATCTTGGTTTCTGTCATCTGTCAGAGTGGTGTTGCCATAAGGGTTGGTACCTCCAGTGTTAACTCGGGCAGCTCTGTCAATCTGGTGTGTGCCTTTGCACATTTCTTTTCACTGGGGCTCTCTGTAATGGAAGTAGCTTCCCTCCTGCCCTGGACAAAGGAGATGTATCCCAAGTGACATGCAGATTTCACATTTTAGATTATCCCAAATAGTTGTTCTGTGAGATGAGGTTTGTCTCATGCTTTGGCGTTAAAGTTTTCTCTCTCTCCTGCCAGGTACTACTGTAACGTATGCGACTGCGTGGTGAAAGACTCCATTAACTTCTTGGATCACATCAATGGCAAAAAACGTAAGGATAATTTTTCTGCCTTGTTGGAGGGTTGGTTGAGTTGGAGGGCTGCTGCAGTGCTCTGGGCTGTTCCCTTTGTGCATCAACAGTGTCTGAGGACTGAATGCTTATACATGGGTCAAAGTATGCTTTGGAGATCACAATGTAGGCAGTGTTTGCTCATGAGAGCTGTGGAGGTGCTGCCTTTATCTCCTGGCACCTTCCAGGGTGCTGGACCATTTTCATGGGATAAGCCCAGAAGAAACAATGACTGGTTTACTCTGGTTAGGCGGATGTATTTTTCCCGCTCAGAGTGTCCGTGCTGTGAGAAGGCCAGGGTCAGCAAATCCTGATGTCTCCTCTGAAAATCTGGAGAGAGGCTTTTTTACAGCACCAAAACTTTAAAGAAATTCTTAGATAAGTAAAAGGTATGGGACTAGCCCATTTTGGATCAGAAGTTTCTCTTTGTAGAAGTTGAGTATGAAGCTCAAGACTAGCTGGCCCCTGAGCTCCAGAGTATGGATCAGAGTTTACAAGGACGGAGGCTGTGGTTTGCTGAGGATGAGCAGAGACAGGAGTGGGGCAGGATCACGCTGGAGCTGGGTCCAGCAGTGTGGTGGTGTTATTGTCCTGTACCTATCTCTGGTTCTTCTCTCCATTGCTGTAATGATGCAGTTAGCTTAGGCCAAGAAAAAGACAAGAGAAAAGGATTCCCAGTTTATCAGTCCTTTACTGTGTTTAACTTGAAAAAGACGACTGTACCCTCATTGAACTGGAGTCTCATGTCACGACTGTGGGCATTGCTTTTTCTTGACATGTTCAGAGAGTGGGCTAAGTGGAGAAAGTAAAGGGGCAGCAGATGCACTGACACACTCTTGCCATGTTGTTCTGCTCCTGAAGGTGATTTGTGGCTCCCCATGGAAGTCAACAAATGGCCCCTTTACAAAAAGGGAGTGATGTATGCAATCCAGACCCACACACTTGGCCGCTTGAACCTTTGAGAAATGAGGGGTTCAGAAGAGGACCTGAAGGCCAGTTTTCTGTAGCTAGGAAAAGAAAACCCAATGTGTAAAAGCCCTGTGCTTTTATGTGAGTGGAAGGAGGACGCTGAAGTGCTTTGTTTGACATGTTGGGACACTAGCAATAAGTCCATATGAGAGAATCTGGAATCAGAAATCCTGGCATGACTTTGTGCATGGGCCCGAGATGAAGGGTTGAGCTGGGGTTGAAGTGGCTGATGTATAGCTCTTCGGTACAATATGGTTTACAGAGTAAGTTTGGGAGCTCTTAATCCAGTCCATAAATGTGGCTGGAACCTGCTTGTTCTTAGCAGCCCTCTTACTAGTTCCTGGTGTGTAGTTTGAGCTTCCAGGTGCTGCTGCATCCGTGGGACAAACCTGTGCACGGCTGGTGGAGTCAACAGGCTGTTTGGATCCACTAGGCAATGTGGGTTGGAGACATTGCCAGGGGTGGCTCCTTCAACCTAGGCTCACTCATGAGCAGAAACTTGGGAATCTGTACTAAGCAGCCACTGAATCAGAGGCCTCGCTTAATATTTCATGTCTCTGCTTTAGCTAGAGATGTCCTGTGCAAGCAGGAACTCTTACTGAGAGCCACTGATGTCTTGTTTAGCTTCTCCCACAGCTGAGAGATACCAGCTTGCCAGTTTTATTCTGGCCCCTTTTTCAACACGCCACCCTTTTTTTTCCAGTGGTCCAAGATTAAATTTCCTGACATGAAACATGATGGGCAGCATCCTAATAGGGAACCTTAAAAGAACAGGCTGCATCTTCTTTCTTGTTACAAGTAATCATTGTAGTCACTGCCTGGTTTAGGTTATGGTGTCCCCCTAAAGCCCATCCCAGTCCATGTAGGAATATTGGACAAGATGAGGACAGAAAGTGCGTTCCTCTCTGGGGGAGGAGCACTGCTGCGTCACACTCCCCAGGCTGGCTCTGGGCTACCTGGGCGGTGGTACAGTGCCATGCCGGGCTCTGCCACTCAGGAACGTGGGGGACAATGCTGCTCCCTGTGCTTTTGAGTAGTGGGTGGCCTGCAAATCAGTGTGGTTAGGTCAGGTTGGAGCACTGAGCCTTGAGGGTGTATGGCCTTGTGCATGAGTGTAGTCTGGCCCTGGAAGCTGCTTTGAGGGGACAGATCACAGGCAGGAAGAGACTGCTGTGCTGAGATATTTAAATTGGGATTGGGGACGGGGACTATGTGCAGACCGTCAAAGGCTATGAGTATTGCTGAACACGGTTGATTCCACTCCTGTTTTCTAGACCAGAGAAATCTGGGAATGTCCATGCGGGTGGAGCGCTCCACGCTGGACCAGGTGAAGAAACGCTTTGAGGTGAACAAGAAGAAGATGGAGGAGAAGCAGAAGGACTACGACTTTGAGGAGAGGATGAAGGAACTCCGTGAGGAGGTGAGTCTGGGCAAGGACTGATGAAGCAAAGCCCCCCAGAAACGTATTTTGTGAGGAAATCAATCCTGGTTCCTAATCTTGTTCCACAGAAGCCTTGTTCTTGGTAGCACAGGCTTCTCGTCTACTGCTATGGGTGGGTTTTGTTTCTTTGTTGTTTGCTTTTTAAAAAGTTTTCTGCTGCTGTCCCTGGAAACCTTTTCCCCTCTTTGTTAGGATAACTTTTGATGCTTCAGGTTTCCACTGAGAGCAGCACAAGCCTGACAATGCACCTGTTTTTTGTCTCCCATTAGTTGTGTTTGATTTTTTGTGCTCTGATAGCAGATCTGTGTCTTTACCCCTTATCTTCCATGGTTCTTAGGATTGCTGGGATCCTTCTCCATGTGGCATGTTGCTTCTGTGTGGCCTCCCCGAATGTGGAAGGGCTTTGTGAGCAGTGTGCTGTGGTGTGAGATGTACGTGGAGGCACTGAAAGACTGCAGATTCCTCCCAAGCATGGGCTTAGGTGTCAGCTCCCTGACAGGAAGATCAGGTTTATTTGAAAACCTGACAAAGTTCTGACAGTTGAGGAGCTTCTGTGGATGCTTCTCCTCCATCAGCAGTCACATAACAACCAAAAGTTAAAAATAACTGCCCGTTTGAGTCTCCCTGCCCAAGCCCTGAGCTTTGCTTCAACGCAGGGGTGCTCTGTTGGGGTGCACACAGAGCAGCCCTGTGCTCTGCTCTCGAGCAGGCTTTGGTGCTGCTGA